CTGCTGCTGCTGCCCCGTCGGCTTCGTGCTCGCTGGCTGATTTGCCCGCTGCACATCCTCTTGGTGCCTTACCGCCAATCTTCGCACTCCGCCTCCGGATTTCGCTCATCTCGCTCGACCCCTGCAACCTCCTCCTGCCCCCCTTCCGACTCATCAACATCCGTCATCCAACGCTCCCTCGCCTCGCCTCGCCGCATCTTCACCCCGCTTCCATACCTCACTCCTCTACACGCTCGCTCGCTCCATTTTCAATCTGCCATCCTCGATCCCGCACAAGACGCCGCCGAGGCGGAAGCACAGCAGAACTTCCACTCGTGTGCCGTCGCCCTTGTCTTCCCACTTCGCTCCGTCCCCCCTTCTCTCTCTCTCTCTCCCTCCCTCCTGCGCTCTGCCCCCACCATCCCGCAAGCGTTCATGTTCGACAACCAACAATCCAGCACAAGCGTCTTCTGGCTTGATCCTCATCCCCAACCACATCCTCGCTCTCCATCAGCATGCAACGTTCGGGTTACGATCCATACAAAGACAATGCCAGCTCCTCTCACCGCGACCCCGACCGCGACCGCGAACACACCATGAGAGACCCTCATCCCGCCAACGCTGCTGCTTTCGACCGCCGCAGGCCTCCTCACATGCAGCCTTCGGGCCTAGCTCACAATCACCCGGACTACGATGCTTCACACCATCCTCCAACCCTCTCTCCACGCCAACCTACCGCAGAAGACGGCTGGCCTGTCGCCATGAACGAACACACGCACAGGCAGCACCAGCACCACCCACCACCGAGCCGCTACGCCTCTGAGCATCCCTCGTCATCGGCGCTACCACCCACACAAGACCATCCCTATCGCTCCTACAACCCGCGCGACCCAGATGCACGCCGACATCAGCAGTACTCTGACGACCGCTCCACCCGATACCCATCGCATCCCTCGCACTACGACGGCTACGACCAGCGCGACAACCCAGCCCACGACGGCCAAGCTCACCAAGCGTCCTACCGCCACTCCCCGAGATATCACTACTCGCATCCCTACCCTTCCCAGCCCCACCATCATCACGACTATCGCTCCGAAGAACCGCCACCTTCTAGCGCACACTCCCGCCATGCATTGCCCTCGCCACGCAATCTCCACCGTTCCGAGCCGCGCTATTCTCCTCCGAGCGACAGCGCCGCACGAGACGCTCCCCCGCACCTCCACAGGTACCCGCCCGCCACTCACCAGTACGCTCGCCGTCGCTCTGACACTGCCTCCCTCGACGCGCGCACGCCTCTGGACTCGCAGAACGGCGCAGCTCCCAGCTCCTCTCGCGCTGCCATCTCCTCTTCCTCCTCGTCGTCCCACCATGGCGCGTCAGCAGCTTCGTCCGCAACCGTATCGGCTTCCGGCACGGCTCCTGGCTCCACCTCCGCCGCGAGGAAGCGCAAGAAGCAGTTCAAGTACATGCTCGAGCACGACGTCTCAGAGCCATCCAAAGCTTCCGCCGCTGCCACTCCCGACGACGACCACGAGCGCAGTGGTGCCGATCCTGCCGATGCCGCCGAGGGCGTTCCCGGTCCAGCGCAACCGCACAAGGGGAGCCGCAAAAAGGTCAAGAAGGCCTGCGTGTTTTGCAAGCGCAGCCACATGCCCTGCGAAGAGGCCCGTCCGTGCAAGCGATGCGTCAAGCGTGGCATCTCGCATCTCTGTCGCGACGCCGAGCCTGCCGGCGCTGCAGGTGCAGCCTCCACCTCGGCCACCACCTCCTCATCGTCCGCCCCGAGCCACATCGCCGCACCGACGCCCACCAAGCGCAGGTTCGGCGAGGCGCGCAACCACGCGCTCAGCCGCCGCAACAAGGCTGTAGCCGAGACCGAGACCGACTCGGACGCTGAGAGCATCACCTCGTCCGCCGCCTCCTCGCTGCGTCCGCGCACGGGCAGCGAGAGGCGCACGAGTCAGCCGTTCGACATGATGGACGTCATGCCCGGAGCCACCGCACGCGATCCAGACATTCGCCCCTCCATGTCCATCTCGGGCCTGCTCAGTCCCGCCAAGATGGAGCTGCAGCACCGTCCGGCCAAGCGCGAACCCGTCTCGGCAAAGGAGCAGGAGGATGCGTGGAACCGCTCCATGGACGCGCGCATGCAGTCCAAGATGAAGCACATGCTCGAGGCCGGTCCGGCCGCGGCGGATCTGAGCGACATCTTTGGCGAGATGCCGACGTCGCTGCTCATGACGCCTGCCATGGCCAACCTGCCCAAGGCGCAATCGCTGCTGCGGCCGAGCTCGGCCGAGCTACCCGCGAGTCCGCGCAGCGCCGAGGTCGGCCGGCTGAAGCGATCCCAGTCCATGACGGCCAGCAGCACGCAGGAGCACGAATGCGAAGTGGACGAGGCTGGCTTCAAGCTTCCACTGCGACCCAAGCATTTGCTGCAGGAAGAGATGGCGACGACCTCGGCGCTGCGAGGAGGCAAGCCGAGCTACTCGTACACGTTTGGCTACGCCAAGCTTGCGCGGTGGATGCACACGCGCTTCTCGCGCGAGAGCTGCGAACAAGTCGATCGCAGCCTGGCGGTGTTTCGTCCGAAGCTCATGGAACTCTCTCGCAGCTTACCCGAAGAGGAGTTGATTGGGGTTGAAGACAACTTCTACCAGCTTCTTGCGTGGTATCAAGCCAACGTGCTGGAAGCTGTCCCTGTCCCGATGATCGTCACCCGCCGGACGGGTGAGATCTACGCAGCCAACTCGCATGCGTGCAAACTGATGCAACTGCCCGAATCGATCTTTGAGGGCGGACAGATCTGCCACTACCAACTCGTCACCGAACGGGACTGCGTGAATATGTGGGGCAAGTACGCGCAAGAAGCGGCCCGAACACTCTCCACTCCACCGACGCAGAATGTGACGCTCGAGGTGGACCGCAGCTTGCTGCTGTTCAATCAGCCCGCATTCGATCCTCGCACGGGCGAGATGCTCGGCGACGGAACCTGCCCTGACGGCACCATCGCCGTGCTCAGGAAAAGAGTCGTCGTCACGTTCGAGGCAAAGGTCAGCAAACACGGCCTGCCTTTCCTCGTTACGGGCTTTATCATCCCCATCCCCGAAGACTAGTGCTTAATCTTACCCTCTGTGTTTTGCTAATCGAATAATACGCCGACGATATGCTTGCGGCTTTGCACTGCTCCGATTGACGCCGACGTGTGTTTCGGTGATGCGTCTGTATGAGATGGCGAGGTGGACATGTGCGGACGACAACTGGTCCTGCACCTGAGAGCTGCGCGGACGGCAATCTAGCATATGCCGGAGGATGAGATGCTGGAAGCGAGCACTACGAATTGC